AGGAATGAGTGGGGAACATACATATGTGTTGTATGAAGGAGGTACAGACATGCCTTTCTTCCCCTTTTACAAATGTGATATGCAGATTGAGAACACTACCACTTACTATCAACTACATACCCTATTTGTAGAAGTAGAGGAAAAGTCCAGTTTGGTACAGTCCAGTAGGTCATAATCAGTGGGATTTATAACCTGCTCTCAATTCCACTTTCCTATTCTACTGATAAGCCTTTGTTCTAGGCCCCAAAGTGCTGCTATTGTCTAATTCCCATTCATCAGAGTATGCTGTAAGAATGCTCAGTGCAGATACACTTTCTTTTTACTTTGCTCAAGTCCTTTATCACTGCCATTTTCTCTGTGCTGACTTGCTACTTATACAACTGCAAGTGGAGCAGCGCGGTGCACATCAGCTTCCATGCAGAGCAGACTCGATTGATTGAATCTGTTCTGAAGTGGCAGATCTTGGGAGCGTCTGAGAACTAAAAGGTACATGTATAAATGCCTGAAGAATTTAGTTAATTCTGCTTAAGTGAGTCAGAAGAGAGACTAGCTGACCTATCCAATTCCTGCATAAGCCATGTAGCACTCAGGGGATTGAAAAAGCAGTTAACACATATTTAGGTTATAATGTAAATAAATGAGACTGAATAGCCAAGGGGGAGAAGGATGTTAAAATCGGTTAAGTTTTAGGGTACTGCTTTTACACAGTAACAAGGGCCTTAAGGTACACAAGTATAACCAAGTACTAAAAAAATGCACAGTAACCAGAGCTGGTGAACCCCTTTTTAGTGACATTACCGCACAGTAGCCTAATAGTACCATGCAGAAGCGTATTTGCACTGTCCGTGTTGTGACCACTACTTCACAGTGTTATTAGGCTATTGTGCAGTTAAGCGTCTTGTGTAGACGCAACCAGTAACATTCAGATCAACTAGCACTAAATTTTAATCATTCTCATTGCATTTTCATTCATTTTAAGGCATCAGTATTATCACTTCCCATGAATGAACACAAACAATTTATTTCAAGCTCATTAGTTCACGAGCTGCACAGTACACAAAGTCACGCAGAGTACTGGAATATATAATGAACTCATAAGTACCTGAAAACTTCTTTGTATTCTCTCAGAAGACTTTTCTTTGTGTTTCTTGAGTTCATCTTGCCAGGCAACTGGTACATCTTTTTCTGCATGCAATCTGAGGCAGTACTGTGTGAATAGGTGAAAAAGCAACTTCTGCATATCCTGCCAAAATTCACATTCATTGAAGATATAGAACAAAAACCAAAACATCATAGAATAAGCACTTAAGTACCTCTACCCCCGACTGCTGGTTTCACTGACAAATGTGACATTTCATGTGGAGCAGAAAAACTTAGAAATGAGGCAACAAACAAATCATACCTTTTCACAGAGAATGGAGGAAAATATTTCCAGTATTTTTTAAAAGTATATGGATTCTAGGCAAATATACCCCAGCTGTAATGAAGGATGAAGACTTAGGTTAAGATGGATTTGTTGTCAAATATGCATAAGATGGGTAAGTAAGAACTTTATAAATTGTACTCATTTGCTTGATATACATTCCTTGTGCAGATATCTACATTCCATTATTAGATTGCTATTAAACTTTGTCTACATTTAGGTGTATGATATTTAATTTTGGTGGGACTAGCTCTTTGAACCCTTTTGATTCTCAGACTATATCTGAGGGTCAAGAGTAACCTGCTTTGGCTCTCTTCTGCCTTTCGGGATCACCACTCAGGGGTTGCCACTGATGCCTCAGGGAGTGCTGTTTGGGGTTGTCACTACTTTGGGAAATGTCACTTGGAGTCACTGCTGAGGTGTGCTGCTGGCCACCTCTTGGGATCACCACTTGACGCTCCTCTGTACATGCCGCTGAGGTTTCTGCTTCCTCCCAGTGCTCAGGATCACTGCTGCTGCTCTGTGAGTGCCGCTCAAGGTCGCAGTTGAGGCATGCCACCTGCTGCCTTTCGGGATTGTCTGCTGCTGTTCTGTAAGAGCCGCTGAAGTTTTGCTGTCTGTCTACTTTCTCTCAGGATGCCACTGCTCGACTGCTCTAAAAGCACTGCTGGGATCTCCACTGTCTCTTATTGCTCATGGTCACTGCCAAGTGTGCCTCCCCTGAGGTTTCAGCTAATGATCTACCTAGAAAGATAGCTTTAGCTGTCCTTTGATAGTGAGGGTTTCACAAGCTTCAGTAAGAATTAAACAACAACCCAGCCTCAGAGGGTGCCCAAGTTCTCTCTGAGCTCTCTTCCAGAGGTGTGTTATCTCAAACTGTGTATGCTCTCACAGTTAACTTTAAAAAAAGTTAAGCTGGCTTAACTGTCAGAAAGTTGGTATGTGTGTACCTCTGGGTGAATCCCATACAACTGTGTCCTGCAGCCTGTGTATGCCTTCCAAATTCATCGACTGTAAGACTAGAAGGGACCTCAGAAGATCATCGGGTCCAGCCCCAGTCCCTTTATGAAAAATATCAGGAAGGTAGGCCTAGTTCCACAAAGATCTGCCCCCCTTGATCCCTTACATTTAATTTTTTCAGGCAGAAATCATAGAATAGGCACAAACAGGCTCATGGCGTATACAAATTTTAGAACACACAGTTGATCGCATGGCTAACCATACCTTTAAGCAGGATTACATTATTCTTTTGAGAAGTGCCTAGATATAGTAAAGGGGTAACAGAAGGCATCCCCACATGAACTATATGCATCAAAAAGTCCTTCTTGCCTGCAGACATACTCTCCGGTTCCACTGCAGCTCTCCATCTTGAAAACAGTTTGCCATACCCTCTCTACTGGTCTTCCCTGACCTGAGGTCAATGAAACACTTTGCCTCTGAATGAAGAGGCAGCTGAGCAGGCCAAAAGAGGATGACAATATTGGGATAACAGATTTTTAGCAGAAGGCAGTCTGGCAGAAGTGAAATATCAGTGGATTTTATCCTTTGTAAACTGTCATGCTTATTGATTACATTGTCCTTTTTATCTTCAGAGTGTCATAAAAATATTAACTAATTTATCTGCAGACATTCTCTTAAGTAGTTATTGCTACACAGATAAGGAAGAGACATAATGAGGCTACATGATTCATCATACTGTGAATCAGTGGTACGGTAGGGATTAAAGGTGCTCCTGGCTCTCACTCCTCTGCTTAGACCCTATAGCATTCTGGCTTTCAGAAACAAAGGTTCGGCCACACCAGACAAGTCCACACTTCCCACAGCAACATCTACTTTAAAAAAGAAACTACTGTATAAACCTTATTACTGAGTAACTCATTCCCCTGGGTAACATTCTTCTACTGACAAATTATTCTACATTAAAAGCCTGTGGTTATGAGGTCTTACTCAGAGTTCATGCAATGGGTTTCCTTCTGTCTGAAGTCACTTTTGACCCCCACAAAATGATACACTAATCTGGAAGGATAACATCCTCATCCCCAAGCCTTCAATGTTTTGATGTGGTTTCAGTTCACAAAGTCAGAAGCCATTTTAACAAAGCACACAGACAGCCATCAGACTCTTCTTCTAGCTTTCTCCTAAACGCTGCCTAATTCAAAGATACATACCATTATCACACTCAGCATACATTTTCTCTACAGGCATGGTCCAGGCTAGCCTTCTATAAAGAAGAAGTTCTTGCTTTATAGGGCATCTGTCACAACTGTACAGAGAAACAAAAATTTCCTTGAGCACTGAAATGTTTCAGCAAATCTTGTTGCAGCTGGTTTCAGTGACCAGCCACTTCGAGGGGCCTGAAAAAAAATAATTAGCATAGACTAAAAACAGAAGAAAAGGCCCTGTCCACTCAGCTTGTACACATATACATGTACACAGTATTACAGGTGCACAATTGTCTTTCACTGACAAATAGACTCAAGGACCTCTCTAGCTCTTCCTGGAAACAAGGAATTTTGCCACAGACTTCTATGAGAACTAGAATAAGCTTCATGTGCCTTTTAAATAACTTTCTAATAAATGCCCTTTGTTTTAATGCCCTCAGTCTTCTCATACCTACTGACTTCAAATTATCTACTGTATTATCACTAGAAGAGAGAGAGAGAGAGATAAGGAGGAGAAGCACTGTAACTGGAATCATGAATGACTTATGCCTCCGGTGACTGGGGCCACATGGCGGTGGCAGGAGCACAGTGGCAGCAAGCGGGAAGCTCCTCCAGACACCACTGGTGCTGTCGGTGGCAAGCCCCTTTTATCTCTGTAAAATGGGGGTATTAATACTGCCTTACCTCAGACAAGTGTGGAGAGGATGAATAAATTAAAGGAGGTGAGACATTTAAATAATGGGGTTCATATAAATACCATAGGTATAATCCCTATTACTGGAGAATCCAATGATTATATTCTATGTGAACAAGGAGGAACCTAGCTTGACCCTCACATTGAGTCAGAGTTTGCAGGCTTACCCGTTATAGAAAACATTTTTTCAGCTTTTCTTGCTAAGCAAACTTGGTACACAATCGCAAAAGAGTCCCATCATGGTATTTGTTTATTAAGTGACTTGTCAGAGTGGAAAAGCATTATAAAACTTATTGGCATGAAAACAGTCACAAATTACAAGACAGGCTAACATCAATCAACCCAAAGTGTTATACTTAGTTCTGCCATCACCCATCTGGAAATGGCCTAATATTCCCAAATGTACAAGTTTTTCCAGTTTCCCCTAAGCCCTAAGAAATATATCATCCAAAAAGCTGCTGTAAGGAAAAAAATCCAATGCAATAGCAGGAGGGTTTATTTTTCAACCAAATATCTATTTTTCTCTTGCTTTCCTTAGGATTGTGACAGCACTACTGTAATAAACTATTCAATGCTTTAGTCTTCATTCTGCTCTAACGCTCAGGACAAGTGATATTTCAGTCAATATAAATTACTATTGCAAGTTGTCACTCTAAAATGGCTTGTTTTTCAGTTGTACAGTAGCTTTACTATGGAACAGAAGTCTGGCTCTGCACTAAAATATAATATGTCAGTCACTTAGTGGACCCACAAGCACCAGCACAACACAGATTCCAGTTAGAAACAAAATGTGGTGTTATCTGTAATGACTGAGAATAGAAGCATGCATGTTTTCAGAATCCTTTTTGCTGCACAGTAGTTATGGATAATACCCACCTCACAGTTCATTAGGAAATCAAAATATTATACTGTATAAATAATACTTTGCTCTTTCGCATTTTACAGAAGCCCAGGGTCTCAGAAGCCTCCATTACAGTGGAGATGTGATTTAGGTATATTGGAACATCGCAGGAAATGGAAAGCCGCCCTGATTGTCCAAAAAAAGCAAAATGGAAGCCAACGTCTTGTATACTTTGGTTCTCCCTCTGCAAAGCAGTGCTAACCAGCCTCAAGACGTTCTAAATTGTGGAATATGTATTGGCAGAACACAAAGAAACTATATACCATACAACTGAGTAATGAATTCCCAGTACCTCTGTGCTAGATTTCTTTTTTTCTTGAAAACAATGAAACCCACTATAAATCTAGACAGTACCAAACTTAAAGTTTAACTAGAAATCCAACTGTAAAGCTGAAGAAAACTGGTGCAGAACTGAAATCAAATATATACATGCTTAACAGCAAAAGGAGGATAAGAAAGGCTCTACAGCTGTTTTTTTCTTCAGTTTCTCAAATTGGGAACCATAAAGCATGTCACAAATGTAGATTGTGCTCTCCCTTCTACTTGAGATACACATTTACACTCTATTCATTTTAAGCAGGAAGATATAACACTAGGACATGACCTTTAATTTCACTGAGCCTGTGAAAGCAAGCCGCCCCAGCTCCACTGCAATGCAGTTAAACATCTAGGAAGAGATGCACAGTATTCCACTGCTTTGTTATTACAGGTGTCCTCAATTTTACATTCAATGAGGAAGGTGCAATTTTATGGCTCTGTGGAAAAATCTTTAAAATGCTTGCGGGTAGATGTCTAATGATGCCAGATTGGTGCTGGAGAACATAATAGGAAGATAAAGTAGTGAAAAAATTATCTACATGCCAATAAACAATGTTAGGTAAATAATAATAAAACATGCATAAATAGATGTATTCTCTTGTCCATGTTATTACAGGTGTACACCTTCCTTATGCTCTTTTTAAAGGATAGAGTTGATATTTTATCACTAAGTAGATATCTGTGCACTGAAAACTGAAAGAACTCGACGGATACCAACAAAGATAATGATTAAAATACAGGAAAATGTACAGAATTTGAACAGTCATAAAGTGTTTATCTGTGGTCTATGTGGTGAAATTTGTTTTGTATTTGCAACACTTGTACCACATTTACCATAAAAGAAGAAAAACTACTTAAATAAGTGTGTGATGAAACACTTGAAGGAGGACAGAAGATATCACTAGGAATCAACAAAGCCAATTCAAAGCAATTGGCTTTAAATAAACAATTAAACTAAGCTAAGTTTTCATAAGGGTCTGGTTTTTGGATGCCTGATAAGAGACACCATGAAGAGGTTCAATTTCCAAAAAGGACAAAGTGCCTATTCTGAAAACCCTTTTAAAGCTCTTTTGTACTAAAGATGAGAGGAACTCCAAAAATCACAGGGCACTTTTGAAAATGGTGAGCCGTAGACCTAAAGAAAAGTATTCTATTAAATATCTACCCATTCCATAAATAATTTCATGGTAGCTACCTGAGGAGAAAAAAAGAAAAAACAATATACATGAAGAGTGATATTCTAGTCTTTCTTTGTAAATGATTTCCTTCAGCATAACTTCCTAAAGCAGGGCCTCTGTTTTCATGTAGTTTGCTTCACATCATGAGAGATTCAGAAGGCCCTTCATGAGCCTTCAACTGGATTAATCCCAACTCTAGCTACCCTGGAATACTTCAGGCCCAGAAGACAACTATCTTAACATCAACCTAAGCAATCACTATGCCTGAGAAAACATGCGTGTTAATTGTATTAAATCATATGGATTTACTATGCATTTTTGATAATCTTGGAAAGTGCAAATGCCATACTGTGTACACTTATGTTTATAGTCTCTTCAAAAATAAAAATGTAGTACTTTCCATAAAGCACATCAGAAGTTATGTATTTTTCATACTAACCTTCAGGGTTAGAGACAGCTTTTACTAAACTGTTTTGTTCCAAACAAGCACATTTTTACTGCTTTTTCCTGTACGATCAAAATAAAATCTTAGATTCCCAGCACCTACAAAATATATATTGGCCACCCAAAATCCAAAATGGGCTATACTCAAAACATACTTGGACTTTGAACAAAACCAGATATTTGTGACATATGTATGTCCATATGTAAATATTGTTTAGATGCTGGGGAAGAGCTCTCAACTGTAAAGAACATCTGGAAGTGATAGAATACATTTCTTTAGAGCCTTCTACCTGAAAACCTCTCAGTGCCTCACAAACATGAATAAACTAATTCTACACACACTAACACTTGCCTGAGGTATTATTATCCATATATTATGTATGGTAAAATTGAGACAAAAAAATTAAGTGACTCATCATAGGTCCCACAGGAAGTCTGCGCCACAGCTGGGAATAGAACACACATCACCTGGCCCCCAGCCCCCTGCTGCACCACAAAACCAATCTTCCTGTCTGGAGAAGCGTGTAGGAGGTGTGACAGATAGATCTTCGGTCCCAACTTTTGGAACCAGAGCTGTGCACAATTTCAGTAAGAAAAGCAAAATTATATTAACCTATTTTCAGGTGTTTTTACCAGTCAAAAACTTGAAAGGATGGCTATGTCTTCTGAACATTTTAAATTAAGTTAAATATTGGGATTAATAGTTTCAATGGACACCATATGAACTTCAGTTTTTGATCATTTTGACCTGAAACTAGACATAATGTGATGGTATTAACTAACTTTCAGTTTGAGATTTTAAGGACCATTTGAACACAATTTTAAAAATCAAAACTCAGGTGGTCTATTGAACTGACATCTGCAACTTTATTGTCACAAATGTTTACTAATATTATTCACATTAGTACTAAAGGAAAATAAAATGGAAAAGAAAAGAGGAAAAAAGCTTTAGGGGAAACCCTAGTGAATTTCAACTGCTGAGTTCCATTAAATTGCTGGTGGTGCCGCCGGGCAGGCCTGCTGGTGCCGCCGGGCAGGCCTTGGGTTCCTTGACAACGACCCATGCTTTCGGGAGGGGGGATTGCTGGGGCGGGATGGGCTTCATCTCTCCCCTAATGGCAAGCGTATCTTCTCTTCCAGGTTGGCTGATCTCGTACGGCGAGCTTTAAACTAGACTCGCCGGGGGAGGGGGCTGCAGGAAGACGAGGAGACGCCATCAGGGCAAGGGGTGCAAAGGTAAGTAATGGGGGTCTTGCCATCAGGGCAAGGGGTGCAAAGGTAAGTAACGGGGGTCCTGATGGTCTGCCTAATCGGGGGGTGGGGGGGCA